CACATGGTTGGTCGTCCTGGCAACAGCCCCGCCCTTGAGTGGGGTCCAGAAGTCTCCTTCATTAACAAAAGACACCTTTATCACTCTCAACAGGTAGGATATTTAGGAGCAGAGAGTGAAAAGTTGTGGACTAAGGCCAGATATATATTTCTCATAAATCACAGCGTCACTCCGTCTTAACCATTTGTAAGTGCAAGCTTTCATGATGTTAAATACATTCACATTGTTGTGCAACTACACCAGTCCTCTGCCCCTGTAACCTTTCACCTTGTAGGGCAGGAACTCTGTATCCATTAAAAAATAACTCCTCGTTCTCCCCTCCTCTCATACGGCATTCTGCTTTCTGTCTTTATGATTTGACTCCTCTAAGAACCTTATTGAGTGCAATCCTGCAGTATGTGTCTTTTTGTGTGTGGCTGGTTTCATCTAGCATAATGTCCTCAAGGCTCGTCCATGTTGCATTGTATTGCACAATTTCCTTCCTTAAGGCTCGATGTCTTACACTGTATGTACAGAGCACATTTTCCGTATCCACGCCTCCATCAGTGGACGCTTGGGTTTTTCTCGTGTTTTGGCTCCTGTGAGTAATGCTGTGACCATGTAAAACACGGTGTACGCTTCTCTTCTGGAGACCCTGCTTTCAGTTCTTAAGGGTTTATCCCCAGGAGTGGAGCTGCTGCCTCATTTGCTAATTCTGTGTTTAATCTTGTGACAAATTGCCATACTCTTTCCCACGGAACATCTCTCACCATCCTTCCTCTTTCAACCTCTGTGTGTCTTTGGAGCTCAAGGGAGTGTCCTCCAGACCGCATGTGGTTGGATTGTGCGTTTTCACTTGTTCTGCCCGTCTCTCTTTTTGGAGAGTTTCACCCACTTACATCTTAACATAATGATGGAGAAGGACTTTTTCACTGCAGTTGGTTTCCCATGTGCCTTAGAGCTCTTTTTTGATCCCTCACTTTCTGTATTATTTTCTGTTTTGGTGAATGTTTTGTAGTGAAGTGTTTAAATTGCTTTCTCACTGCCTGTTGTTTCCATTCTAGAACTTTTTTCGCTACGGTTACCACGGGGATGACATTCAGCATCCTGAAGATACAATTGTGGAATTTCAGTTTGTACCAACTTAAGTTCGATAACGTACAAGAATCTGCTCGCTCACAACTCCATCCCCACCCCTTTGTGGATGTCACAGAATTACATCTTTATTCATTGTGTGTCCAAAAACATAAACTAAAAATTATTTTGAGTGCATTCATAGTGTTTCAAAGTATGTACAAAACAAGATGTGGAATTATAAGCCAAAGTTACATAATTTCAACTTTTAGAGGAATGATTGCTTTTCTTCAGATTTATGAATCTCTGAAATCATGTAGAAAACCAAGTGCAGTTACAGACTGTTGTGGCCATACTCCTCGTGTTATAACCTGCCGTGGGCTGGCCTGCCCCGAGACCTTCGTTCTCGCACGGCCTCTAGTGACTGTCTCCTGTCCTGTCCTTGCGTCTGCCCTACTCCCGGGAACAAGCAGCCCTTGCAGAAAAGGTCGGTGGTCCCCACCTCCCACAGCGGTTGTCTGTCTGGGAACGTCTTGATCTCCCTCTCGCTTTGCGGCACAGTCTTGCTGGATATAGGAGTCATACGTGACGGGTCTGTCTTCGTGCAGCGTTTTGAATGTGTTGGTGCACTTTCTCTCAAACCCAAAGTTTCTGGTGAAAAATCTGCAGATAAGCTTACTGAGGGCCCCTTGGGTGTGATGAGTCTCTTCTCTCTTGCTGCTTTCAAGATTCTTGGTCTTTTGGAAGTTTGGTTAGAACTTGTCTCAGACTCAGAGTGGGTCTGAGTTCATCTTACTTGGCTTTCTTTGGGCTTCATAGGTGTTCACATCTGTGTCTTGTATTACATATGAGATGTTTTCAGTAATTATTTCTCCAGATAGTCTCTTGGCCCCTTTCTCTCTTCTTCTTCTGGGACTCCCACTGTGTGTATGCTGGGCTGAGTGGTGGGTCCCACAGGTCTCTCAGTCTCTGTTCATGGTTTTTCAGCTCATTTTCTTTCTGTCCCTCATTTTGGGCCATTTCTATTGCCCTGTCTTCAGGTTCACCGATTCTTTCTTTTGCCTGTTCAAGTCTGCCTTGGACTCTACCCAGGGAATTTTTCACTGACATTATTATATGTGTTGAATTTTCAGCTGTTGAATTTTTTTTTCCTTTTTCTCTTTATGTTTTCTCTCTTTTTATTGATTCCATCTTGTTCATAATTATTTTCTTGACTTTGAGCATCTTTTAGACTAGTCCTTGTCTAGTAGATCTGACGTCGGGTCTTCTTCGGGGATAGTATCTGTTGTTTGGCAGCCCCCCCCCCCCTTTAAATTGGCCATACTCTGCTGTTACTTTGTGTGCCTTGGGATTTTTGTTGAACACTGGACATTTTGATCTTCATAATGTGGTAATTCTGAAAATCAGATGTCTCCCCTGCTCCAACAATGGATCAGCCTGAGACTCTGTAATGAGCAGAACGGCATTGGAGGTCACCCGGCACACACACGCACGCACACACGCACACACGTGTGCCTAACCGGTCGTCTCGTGAAGATGGCAGGCAGCCAACTCATTGTCTTGAGATGCGGATAAATTGCACCAAGGAATCAATACTTTCTCACAGGAACTGTGTCACCAGGTGACAAGACCGAATCCAAAGAGCGGATGCCTCTCTTTCTACATTTTATTCTAGCTCTTTATTCTGAGAAGGAAGGAAAGACTTCTGTTTTCTTCGACCTGTAGTGCAGGCGTGGGTATGGGCGTTGAGCACAAAGGGCCTGTTGGCACCAAAGCAGAGCGGAGCCTGGACACGGTGCCTCTGGCTGGAAGTTGGGCAACAGTTCTGATGGTCCCTGGAGTGTGAGCTGGGCTCCGGGTGCAGGAGCTGGGGTTACGGGACCCCCAGGTGGAGGGGAGATGGTTGGCCTGGATCATGAGTGTTCGGTCAGTGAGATGCAAACGGGGCCTTTCAGTAGACAATTTAGAGGGAGAGCAGGGAGGACCTGTAGATGAGATGTGACTTGGAAGACGTGCCCAGAATGGACAAGGCTTGGCTGTAGTGTCTTGAGGGGGATTTGGGGGGTAGACTCTCAATCAAAGCAAGAAGTGCGAGTGACGGTAGTGTTACAAGGAGGGAGGGCTGTGTGGGACGGGGCACGTGCAGGGTCTTCTCGGGAGGTTGCAGTTGCCTACCGGGTCCTTGTCGTGAGTCACCAAGGTACACGCATGCTGGTGTGGGTTTCTACAACCAGTGTATTTTGTAAGTGGGCTTTTGAAAAACCTTAAGTCACTGGAATTCATCTGGTAATGAAACTGCTAATGTATCGTTTTATGTGCTTGTTTTTAGGGATTGCTTTTTAGAAGTTTGGTGTAATTTGCTTTTTTAATTATGTAAAACACATATGGCTTCAGAGCGAGCAGTGTAAAATGGGGGGCACTCGGGTGTGGCAGACGTCATCCCCACGTCCCCACCTGCACGTCCCCTCCCTGCCCCACCTGGCTTGTCAGGGGAAGGCGCTGTTCCACACCCAGCATCTGCATCCCGCTTTCTTCACCTGGCGATGTGCACCCAAGGGATCGTTACCAGTAAAAATGGAGGTCTTTCTCGTTCTCTCTCTCCCTCCCTTTCCTTTGTCCCTTCCCTCCATGTCTGCCACCTGGGCCCTGGGTTTTCCTGCTGCTCGTGCTCCTTTGATCCACCGATTCCCAGCCTTTCGTTACCATAAATAACGTTACAGGGTCATCTGGCACATCGGTCATTTTTTGTTTATCTATCTTAGGATAGGTTCTGAGAAATGGTGTGAGAGTGGTCAAGAGTAAATCGAATTTTGTAATTTAATATTTTCTCATGTCAAAATTTGAGAGGGTCGTATGACGATAGACCTTACCTGGGTTTTGACATTTTAGCTGTGCTTTTATTACTGAACCTGTTTTATGGTGGCACATCAGATAATTTATTAGCAACATTATGGCGCACGTTCTTGGGATATTTTTGTGTATTTGCATATTCTGTTATCAGAACATGAATTGAGGATGGGAATGGTCAATGCAGGTTTTCTAAAATAAAGCACTAATTGATACTAAGCCTTAATAGGCAAGAACAGCACGTAGGAGGTAAGTGATCAGTTAATGACCTGGATCTTCTCTGCACACTCGTTTGTGAATCAAATAAATGAAGCCTTGTAAGGAGTTTTGTTTCCGTGAATCTCTAGAGGCATCATTTCTGTATCCCGCTGTGCTGGAGAATTGTGCTCTTAAAGTACCTGTAACTCCGGAACTTTCTTCTTTCATTCCAAGGTTCGTGTTTTATTCGCACTGACCAGCTCGATGGTGAAACTGACTGGAAGCTGAAGGTGGCGGTGAGCTGCACGCAGAGGCTGCCAGCCTTGGGGGTGAGTGTCCTTGCGCTTCCGGTGCCATTCACGTGTCGTGCTCGCTGCCGGGCAGTCAACAGTTTCTGTGTACCAGCTAGCTTACTGAATGCCCTGACAGTTTTTCAAAATAATTTTATTATTACTAACGAAGGATTGTTGAAAATTACGCCAAAATTATTTCTGTGGTGTCTTAGCACATGCCCTGCTCGCCTTTCTCTCCTTTTTTCTCTCACTTTCCCTTTCCTTTTGGTCTTTTCCTTCTAAACCCTCTCAGTTGGGTAATCGTTAAGATTGAGAACTTCTGGCGGGTTAAGTGAGTCCATTATTGCTAACTGGCTCCCTGGTGGTCTGGTTGCCATAGTTTTGGCAGACCTCAGAGCCCAGATGAAGTTCGCCTCCTTGTGGAGCCCGGTTCGTGTTGCACCGCCGTTCATGTGATGGCGGAGAAGCTTCTTCCCTCGGGAGGAAGGGGCGTGTCGCGGTGTCCCTTGGCCCAGAGAGGAGGAGGAGCGCACCCTCAGCACCTCGCATGGTCTCCGCCCAGTGCCCCTCTGTTCCCGGGAGTAGGCAGGGCTAGGATTGGAGGAAACCGTGCCTCTGGATTTCAGCATTTTCAGCCAGGTCTCACGAGTGCTGAGGCTCTCCTAAGCCTGCACACATCTTTTTGTAACAAAACCACAGTTGAGGCCGCTTGGTGCTCGTGTGAGATGTAGCATATACCTGAATGAGAGGAGCTTCGTTCTTCTGACATGATTTTCTCATAACCGGCGTAGACTAAAGAAAACTTGCGATGGTCCAAGAAAGACCTTTGACTCAGGCAGTCGTCGGTCAACGGAAGGGGATTGGGTGGTATAGATTTGGTCACTTTCCTTAGATTGGTCGGGTCTGGATAGGAATAGCTGCTGGTACTGCATGCGGTTTCCGGTTACTGACCTTCCCCATCCTGTGCACACTGGACCTTTTGGGAACTAAATGTGTGTGGCGTGTGTAAAACTTGGAAGTATTTGGTTCTTTAGGTATTTTCGGTTGCCTGTATGTTTGGTGCTCCCTAGGTTGAAATTCATTCTTTTATATGTTTTATCTGTGTCTTCCAAAACCTGTTGTCACGAATGGGCATTTGCTTATTTGTTCTGTCCATTCATTGTCACGTAATAATGCAGGTCATATAATATGTCTGTCATACTTAACCTCTCCTCCTGACTTTCCCTCTCTCTCTCTCTCTCTCTCTCTCTCTCTC